TTAAGGGTACGCGCCTGAGATTGAACCATGTTGTAAAGGCATCAAAGACCTTGAAGATCGTTGGAGGACTGATGAGATTGCATTTCAATGAGTCACTGCATGTAAGCCTGAACTATGACGTCGTTTTTGACAAAGCGCTGTTTGAAAATGTCCAGGGCTGCACAATAGCAGCTTGCCGTTGCTGGTAGTCCCGCGATGGCCGATGCCACGTCGGCGGTTAGAACCGAACGTAGATAGGCGAACCAGTCAACGTCAGTGAGCCCACCTTCATTGTGGGCCATTTGACCAAATTTCTCCCAAAAAAGGCGTCCAAGACGACTGTTGGCCATCGAATTTCATGAGGTATAATTTCAGGAGATACATGGTGGGCTGGGCTATGCATTTCACTGGTTCAGTAGTTGTATGTGATGAATGGCTCTGGGACTTTTGCAACTGCCGTATCCAATACTTCAGCAAAATAATAGAAGCACTGACCAAAGTAAAATACACAGAAATCAAAAAGACGTTGCCGTATCCAATACTTGAGCAAAATAATAGAAGCACTGACCAAAGTAAAATACACAGAAATCAAAAAGACGTTTCGGCTCCCCACATGGTAGCCTTGTTCATAGTGACTTCAAATATCGTAGTGCGCTCTTCTCATGAGCGTTTCATCTCGTGTTGCAGTCATCACTCATCCATAGGGGCAGCGTCCCAATATTTCTGTTCAGTGCATGCGCAGTAATTTGAATGGCCAGAGATTCAACGTGCAATTGTCGTAACAACTTTGTTTCTGTGGCAGTTTTGCAGGCTTTATCTCAGCCGATAGCGTGCCCAGTAGACGCAACATGTTTTGCGGGGGAATGAGAAGCAACTTTCTAGTTCCTGACGTCATTAAAATGTTCCCGTAGCCTTTTTTGATTGATTGACATGTGGGGTTTGCCGTCCGGAAACCACCATATGATTATGGGAGACGCCATATTGGAGGGCTCCGGAAATTTCGACCACATGGAGCTCTTTAACCTGCCCAAATCTAAACACACGAGCCTACAACATTTCCGCCTCTATCGGAAATACAGCCGCTGCAGCCGGGATTCGATCCCGCGACCTGCGGGTCAGCAGCCGAGTACCTTAGCCACTAGACCACCGCGGCGGGGCCCTCATAGCCTTCTTTTGTGATCCTGTCTCGCCAATATATCCGTATTCACTCTCTTTGCACGAAATTTTATATGCTACAGCAGGAAAAGTTATGTCTGTCAGTCTTATCCCTCACAATTGTGAGACGGCCTTTGAGCTTTCGTGTCGGAATGTGAGCCACTTGGACGTCGTTGCCGCGCAAAACCCGAGCGACGGTATAACTGAAGCCTTGGACGTAATGCACCGATGCGCTTTTTTTTCGTAAGAATTTTGTGCGATTGAGTTGGGTGCTGCAGTTCTCGTTGCACCGAGATCATGAAAGAAGGTGGGTATCCACAAGCAGCCACCTGCCGACGAACAGTTTCCACATCTTCTAGTGCGTCTTCTTCTTTAGAACAAATCTTCCGAGTGCGCTTTACGAGTGTAGACACAACAGAACGTTTATGGCAGGAGGGATGCACAGAATTAAAGCTCAGAAAACGACCAGTATGTGTTTCTTTTCTGCAAATGCTGAAAGTCAGGCGCTTACCATATCGTTTCACGAGGACGTTAAGGAACGGAGGACAGCCATTTTATTCTTTTTCCACGGTAAACAGTATCACGGCTGCAAGATAATTTAACTGTTCCAAGAATAGTGGCAAGGCATCTCGTTGCGAAACACAAAAGCAATCATCCACATACCAAAAGAAAGTCTTGGGCGGGGCAGCAAATGAAGTGAGAGACCAGTTTTAACAGCCTCCATGGTAAGGTTTGCGACAGTGACGGGCACAGAAGAGCCCATTGCAGTGCCATGCACCTGCTTGTAGTATTTGCTCCTGAATATAGACTAGCTGTTCTCTAAGCAGAACTGCAGCAAGCTTAACAAATCAGGAATATCGATGGGTGCTCTGTCCGACAATCATTGGTCTGACTCAAGGACTGCCTTGCAGACGTAAATTGCCAGTCCAACAGGTACACTTGTTAAAAGCGATCGTACATCAAACTATGCTAGTACGTCATTGTCACCTAGTATAATGTTGCGTACCTTATCAATGAAATCACTGGAATTACTTAACTGCATTTCAGTTTTTCCAACGAACGGCGAGAGGGCCTCGTCTAGGTAAGCTGAAAGCTTGTTAAGAGGCGACCTTGTAAAACCACTAGGCTGGATTGGGACGCCTGTCATGTGAATCTTAGGCAATCCATGTAAAGCTGGCGCTGATCCGTTGTTGCAAAGAAGAGAGCAATATAAAGACTTGTATTCAGGCCGCACGAAGGTAAAGACGTCTGTGAGCAACTTTTGGAGGTCCATTTGAAGTTTGGCTGCTGGGTATCTATCTAATGGAAGGTATGTGTTGCATCCTCGAGGAGGGCGTTAACCTTGCTCACGTAGTCATTCGTGTCGAGCAAGACGTTAGCGTTGCCCGTGTCCGCAGGAAGTATTACAGTTTCTTTTTACTGCGTAGAGACTTCACTGCCTGAAGTTCTGCTGAGGTCAGAGGAGAGGGCTGTATATGACGAAGGGAAGAGAGCACAGACGCCGCACGAGCACGGACTCCGTCTCTACGAGAACGTTCTATGAGACTCACCGCATTCTCGACGCCACAGATAATCTTCTTACGACTTTTCGGTTCTTGTGTATTTTACTTTGGTCGGCGTTCTGAATACGAAGCATTTCTTAGCTAGTTTCGGTGACATTGAGCGTATCTATCTATCTATCTATCTATCTATCTATCTATCTATCTATCTATCTATCTATCTATCTATCTATCTATCTATCTATCTATCTATCTATCTATCTATCTATCTATCTATCTATCTATCTATATAGCCGCCTATGACTTCTAGTTCTCCTGGCAGTTTCAATGACGGTATCGATACCAAACTTGGTATGGCATAACATGACTATATGAAGAACATATCTGACTAGTCATAACATGAAAATTATGACATTTATGAGATAAATTTTATGATTTACATGTCATGGTCTTGCTGCTCTTGCGTTGGTTTCATTCACATGATATGTTGCAAAACTCGTATGGCGTGACATGATTGCATAGCGAACACAAGTGACAGACCCTAGCATGAAAAGCATGACATTCAGGTCATGTGACAATGTAGTGTTGTGCGTTTACACCAGATGGCCTTCTGAGTCATTGGACTCACAATAGATGGCGCCACTGCGCTCGTGTGTATATAAACGATACTCGCTGATTAAACGGGGTTATTGTCATGGATTGTACTGTGGTGTAGCGTGGTTACTTTCACGTGTCGCCGTGCCGGCTACACGATATTCTGGCGACAAGGATGGCTTCCACGGGCCTTTTGCCACCTCCTCCTTTTCTGGCCACCCCCGGCACGCACGATGTGCCATGGGCCCGATGGTTACGACTGTTCGAAAGATTTCTGCTGGCGTCCGGAGCGAACGAGCTACCCGCACCCCGTCGCCGAGCCCTCCTGCTGCACTGTCTTGGGACGGAAGGAGAGCGCATTTTCGACGTGCTTCCACCTAGTACGACGCAAACCAAGGCAGAGACAACGAGTGCTGCACCCGGTGTCACGGCCATGCCAGATGCCGCCGCTGGAATCATCGGAACCACTGCACCTACTGGAACGCAAGACATGACCACGGAAGCCCAACGCCCACCCGACGAGTACGAAGTAGCCGTTGAGTTGCTTTCGAAGCATTTCGCCGCCCCTTGCAACGTCCACCTTCAACGCCATCGATTCCGGGAGCGTCGTCAACTGCAGGGTGAGCCCATCACTGATTTCGCCGTAGCGCTTCGGGAGTTAGCAGCTCTTTGCAATTTCGCCACTCAAGCGGACGAAAACCTGTGTGAACACTTCGTAGCAGGCGTCACGAGCCCGCGGCTACGAGAGCGATTGCTGCTGGAGGGCGATAACCTTACGTTCGATCATGCTGTCGAGGTAGCACGGCTTCGTGAGCAAACCCAGCGTGAATCCGAAGCCTTCGCCAATCCTGTGCAGCGCATTCAGCAGCAGTTGCGAGACAGCTCAGCCAGGCACGATCGACGAGATAACGGCGATAATGGCACACGCCTCCCGGGCCGTCGCCACTTCAGCTGCTCACGCGCGTACAGCGCACCTTCACCTGATATGAATGCCGCCGCCGCTGCTGTCCCCGGGCCTAGAAATGTAAATGCCTGCGGAAACTGCGGCGCAGCACAGTGTTCGCCTACGGAATGTCCCGGGCGCGGTCGCACATGTTTTGCCTGCGGACGCCGCGGCCATTTCAAGGGAGCATGTCGCAGCTATCGTCGCGGCCGAGAAGGGTATTCTGCAGAGGTCCAGGAAATCGTTCCGGAAGAGGATGCTACCAGTGTCATTAGCATCTTGGCGGTCCGTACTGATAAGAGCACAGGCGTCTACGTGGATGTCAATGTCGCGTCAGTTACCCTGACGACACGGGTGCATACCATGAACTTTTTGGTGGACACAGGCTCGGCCGTGTCTATTATGAGTGAGTACCAATTCCAAGGATTGTTCGCAAACGCAGTACAACTGACAAGTTCCCATCTTTCATTGCTGGATTTTTCGCGCAGGAAGATTCCCGTTCTCGGGTCATTTCGCGCCATAGTCACATACAAGGGGAAAGAAGCCATTGTAACTTTTCATGTTACGCCATGTGGTACATCTCTCCTTGGCCTGGATGCTGTTCAAGCCCTTGGCCTTCGCATCATGGGAGAGGAATTGCGCTGCCTGCAAATGTCCACGCAGGAATGCCGAGAGCTTCCAGCAATGAGTTCAGGCCTTCCCCAAAGCCCCAGGCATGAAAAACCCCTTGGCCCTCCCAAGTTTGGAATGCCCCAACACTGTGGACCAAGCTTGGCCACTTGTTTTTGCCTGGCCTGGGACTTGTAAGAGGTGTGCAACACAAAGTTAAGATGAAAACTTCCATCGCGCCAGTCGCACAGAAGCTGAGACCCTTACCATTTTCAGTCCGCCAGCCGGTCTTTGACGAGATTGAGAAGCTACTTGCTGCTGATGTCATTGAGAGAGTCAATGCTTCCGAGTGGATATCTCCTATTGTAGCAGCCCGCAAAGCAGATGGTAGCATTCGACTGTGTGTCGATCTCCGGGAACCCAACAAAGCTATAGTAGTAGACAACTTCCCTTTGCCTCATATGGAGGAGCTGCTTCATGCCCTCAATGAAGCCCGCTGCTTTTCCAAGGTGGACCTGGCATCAGCCTACTACCAGGTTGTGCTGCACCCAGACAGCAGAGACCTAACTTCATTTATAACTCACGATGGCCTCTTTAGATTCAAGAGGGTCTGCTTCGGGTTGGCATCGGCACCAGCTGCATTTCAGCAGATCATGACAAAAATTCTTGCAGGTTGCAAAGGGGTCTTATGCTACTTGGATGACATAATCATTTTTGGCAAGACGGAGAGCGAACACAGGAAAAACCTGGAGCAAGTGCTGGAACGAATAGCAGAAGCTGGGCTCAAGCTCAACGAAAAATGCGTCTTCAACACATCGGAGCTGTCGTTCTTAGGACATCGCGTCAGCGCAGAGGGTATAGCACCGCTCCAGACCAAGATTGATGCAATCATCAATGCTCCTGCGCCTAGAGATGCAGCCATGCTACGCTCCTTTTTGGGGCTAGTTGAATACTATTCCAAATTCGTGTCGCGACTGGCAGAGCAAGTAGAGTCAATGCGTCGTGTACTTCGCAAAGACGTGCACTTCGACTGGGATGACGCTGCGAAAGAGAGCTTCGCGGGAGTAAAAAGACTTCTAGCATCCCACAAGGTCCTCCGAATGTTTGATCCGACGCTACCTGTCATTGTCGCAACAGATGTCTCTGCGTACGCTCTCGGTGCCGTACTGCAGCAAGTGGAGGAGTCCCATTTGCGTACTGTGGCATTTGCATCGCGGACATTAACAGAGACAGAACGAAAACACTCGGCCGGAGAGCGCGAGGCCCTTGCCTGTCTGTGGGCCTGCGAGAAGTGGCACGTTTACCTCTGGGGCAGATCATTTACTCTACTGACGGATCACCAGGCTTTGGTGGCACTGCTCTCATCCCGTAGCACAGGACAGCGGCCACTTCGTATTGCAAGGTGGACCGCACGACTGCTGCGCTACAACTTCAAAATACAGTACCGCAGCGGAGCCCACAACCAGGTAGCAGATGCCTTGTCCAGACTGCCCGTGCCAGACACAGAAGGGGGCTTCCATGTTGATGAAGAGGTTGTGTCCTTGGTTACATTGTCTGTACATCGGGAGAATCTTCAGGTTGCTACCGCGGAGGATGACATACTACTGCAGGTAATGCAATTTATCCAGTCATCATGGCCAACAAGGAAAAGACTTGCCGCAGAACTGACTCCGTACTACGAAATACGAGACGAGCTCTCGGTAGTAGATGGGTTGCTTCTGCGCACAGAACGCGTTGTAGTGCCTGCCAAGCTAAGGGATACATTCATCCAGTTAGCTCGTGAGTCACACCCGGGAATTGTGAAGACTAAGCAGCGCATCAGGGAGAAGTACTGGTGGCCTTGCCTTGACAAGCATGTGGAGGCTGCCGTCCGGAGTTGCAGCACCTGTCAAGCCTCGGACAAGAGTGTCAAGAACTGGCAAGCCCCACTACAGCTTGTCCCGCTTCCCAACAGGCCTTGGGACAAAATATCAATAGACATCATGGGCCCCTTTGAACGTGCACCGGCCGACTGTCGATTTGTCATCGTGGTAGTGGACTACTTCTCCAGATGGCCAGAGATTGCGTTCTGCAGTGACATCACTTCTCGCACGGTGATCAACTTTCTGCTTGCTGTCTTTGCGCGAGAGGGTTACCCGACTGAACTAGTCTCAGATCACGGCCGACAGTTTACGTCGAGTGAATTCAAGTGCTTCCTTGCAGACAGGGGCATCAAGCATTTCTTCTCGGCAGTTTACCACCCTCAAGCCAATGGCTTAGTGGAAAGATTCAACAGGGTCTTGAAATCGTATATACAACTAGCTCTCCTAGAGCAGCGACCAATCAAGACCACAGTTATAGAGTACCTGGGTATTTACCGAGCCACACCCCACAGCGCCACTGGCATCTCTCCAGCGGTGTTGCTTCATGGCCGCCACATGAGGACATCATTAGATGTTGTTGGCCAGCCATCAGCGGATTTCGGCGCCCATCCCGCACGTGAACTGCGTAGACTTCGGCATCGTGTCTGCGAATACCAACAAAGAAATAAGGCATATGCAGACAAGCGAAGAGCAGCCCGGGAGCCCAAATTTAAAGTGGGGGCCTACGTGCGGGTGAAACGCCCGATACCTGGAATAAAAGGCACCCCTAGTTTTGGGGCTCCACTCAAAATACTGAGGCGGGTCGGACGATGGTCATTCCACTTGGAGGACGGCCGTACCTGGAATGCCTCCCAACTGTCGGCTGTACCCCATGAAGCTGTTCACAAAGAAACGGGGGCAAGGCAAGAACCACTGTGGGCGGACATGGAGACAGACGGGTCGGCAGGAAACGCCACAGCACGAAAACCGTCCTCGAAGGCAAAGAGCCACACGACCCAAAATATCCCAATACAGGAAGCTGCACAGTCTCCGGGGGGGTCAGCACTGCCTCCTCATATGCCAAGCCCACCACGGCCTCCACCAACGGGAAACATGACCGCAGGACTGGGTGCTGATCATGCCGACGAACCAGAGGTCGTCCATCAGCCAGTAGAGCAGCTGGTGCCCCTCCGTCGCTCTACACGGGAGCGAAGACCACCAGAGAGACTCGGGGACTATGTGCAGTGACTTGTTTACCGTGGAGACTTACTATAGTTTTCTGTCACGGGTAGTGACTGTTTCTTTTCTATGCACATAATCTGTGTTCTATTATCAAGGGAGGGGGTAGATGTAGTGTTGTGCGTTTACACCAGATGGCCTTCTGAGTCATTGGACTCACAATAGATGGCGCCACTGTGCTCGTGCGTATATAAACAATACTCGCTGATTAAACGGGGTTATTGTCATGGATTGTACTGTGGCTACTTTCACGTGTCGCCGTGCCGGCTACATGACAGACAACATGACTACATGCCACGTTCATGATGCGCTCGTGTATGTTTCGCTAGCGTAGCATATGACAACATGACTACATGCCACGCTCATAATGCGCTCGTGTATGTTTCGCTAGCGTAGCATATGCCAAATTCGATAATACGGTACGTGATTGGATGACGAAGGCATGTGACTGGTATAAACATGACAATCATAAGATACCTGTCATGTAACAACATGACTACACGCAACGCTCATGATGCGCAGGCGGCCCTTTTGCTAGCTTCACCTACACCAAATTTGGTAGTACTGGACGTGAACGGACGACATAGGTAAGTGGCGCATCCAAACATGACAATCACGATATCCGGGTCATGTAACAACAAGACAACATACCACACCGATGATGCGCTCGCGGCTGTTTCGCAAGCTTCACATATGCCAAATTTGTTATTACGTGACGCCAATGGATTACGAAGGTACGTGACTGATGCAAACATGATAATCATGACACGCGTGTCATGTGAGAACATGACTACATGTCACAGTCAAGGCACCAATATATTTCGACGCGATGCAGTGCCCGTGCTCGCCGGAGTTCATTTCGTCGCGTCACGCCGGCGTTGCCACACAAGGTGCCGGTCCTGCCATATACTCGCAGACGTGCACAGCGCTGCATTGCTTTGATGCATGCGCTTTCCAGCGCGTCCGGTGTCCCTCCGTCACGAAAAGAGGGAGACACAGTGTCGTCTGTGTAACCCGTCGGCGCGAAATGCAGCATGTCGCATTTTGCGCCGATTGTCGTCGGGCCACACCGACGGACGCTGGTCACGCCTGGCGTCATACTATAGAGTTTTCGCGTTTTGCTAATGTAGCGTCGCTGTGCCCAGCGTGTGCGCGCGTCAACGCTACATTGGACTATGTTGGGCCCTTTATGATGCGCTCGCGGCCGTTTTGCTAGCTCCACATATACCAAATTTGGTGTTACGTGGCGTCAACGGATGACGTGATGTATGACTGACACAAATATGCTAACCGTGACACGCGTGTGATGTAAGAACATGACATCATACCGCGCTCATAACGTGCTCGCGGCCGTTTCGCTAGGCTTCACATATACTAACTTCTGTATCACGTGACGTGAATAGAAGACGAAGATTAATGACGTATCCAAACATAATAATCATGACACGGAAGTCATGTGCGGCATCATTTACCTCCACCTCGTAACGTTGTGCTGATTTTAAAGGGACATATCAACATTTCTCATTCGTGCTTCGCATATCATCGATTCCTACTGTACGTCGGATCAGCCAAATTTTTATTCTTTTGCACTATGTTTGCCCCCGACCACACAAGATTCCGTTGGACACTCCAATACTTGACAATAAAGTTCTTTGTGTGTCACAATAAAGTTCTTTGTCTGTCTGTCCAATACTTGGAGTTTCGACGTAGGTGTGGCTCGACTGTTATAATCTACAATCCGGTCGAACTTTGCCTCCGCTTCCTTGGTTGATAGCAGAGGGACGACTTCAGAGTTGGTCGCTCTCAAGCCACTCGTTGAGGCATTCGTTGAGCATACGAACCTCTTCTACAATCATGCTGTGTTGAGTGAGCACAGCTTCTGCCTCGTTTATAACGCGTGTTAATTGAGGTCTCTCAGATTTACACTTCAGTTAGAGAGCTTCCATGTTGCGTCTCCGCATTAAGCGGTTTAGGTTGGTACGTTGATTTCTTAAGGGGCAAGGAGATTACCGTAAGACGATCTATGTGGTTCACTGTTTTGATGGGTTTTCGCACCGCTTGAAGAAAATCGAGCCTCCCAATGCGCCGTAAAGTGGTTTAATTTTTATGAGCCACAGCCAGACTCCGTGGGTTTCTGCTGCAACGCATGAATCCGAGGCAGATCAGACCATCGTGTTCTTTGTCAATCTTTTGCAGCCGCAGACGCAGGTTTCGAAACTTTAGTCATGGTTAGAAGCCTTGTCGGGTCGGGAAGAATGCCGCACTTCGACACGACGTTATCTAAGAATCTGTTGATGTGCTGTGAATCGGCAATTATTCTGATTTAGTCGGAGGCCGACATTGCTCACACGTGGGAAAACGCTTTTCAGACGTTGGAATGAAGTGGAGAAACCCCGAGTGAAACCAACGACGTCGTATAGGTAAAACAAGCACGTGTGCCGTATAAAGTTACCCAAAACTGTTTACATATTGCGCTAAAGACTAAGGGCGCATTACACAGACTGCGCAGCACGACGTCCAACAAGTGCAAGGAGTCCGATGTAACAGAGGCTGTCTTCAGTCGAGCGTCAAAACTCATCAGCCATGCGCAGTTGCCAGTGCCTCGAGCGGAAATCGAGAGAACTCAGCTGTCATCCGCGTCTTCGATGTGCGGCTGTAGATAAACACTCTTGCAAGTCATCTTATTAAGTCATCGGTAGTCCACACAAAACCACACAGAACCGTTCATCTTAGCAACGTGAACAACAGGAGACGTCCATGAGCTGTCTGTTGGCTGAATTACGTCCCGTCGAAGCATATCACCTACTTGTTCAGTAATTACCCGACGTTCGGCAGGTGCCACGTGATATGGAAATTGTTGTAATGGTAGCTCGACGACAGCGTCGATGTGGTGCGTTACAGCGGGCGTGCTACAGAGAGGAGTTTGCCCGACCACGAAAGAAAAACTAAATTCTTGCAAGAGGTCCAGAAACTGAGACCTCCGGACCGGCGTCAGGTTGTCTGCAATGAATGAGTCTAATACATCAGTAGGTGACAGATCAGACGTGGGAACAGCACTGATGGTATGAGAACTCGGACAGTGCAAGTCATCGTGTGTGTGCAAGAATTTTTCCTCGTCGACGGCATCATCTCTGCTGAGACATTCTTCCCGAAACAATGTAACCATGTATGGGAATGTGAAGGACACAAAAACAGTGGTGTTGTCCTATGCGACTTGCACGGTTGCGAAAGTTGTGCAACTTCATGTTACTGCAACCATGGCCAGTTAGCGAAAGAAGAGCAATCATGTCAGAGAAACGGGCACAGTAGACTCACACAGCCGTTTACGAAATGGAGTCGTCCCGAGGAACTGTCCACTGACGTCAAATGGAAGAAGGGCGAGAGTACAGTTTTACGCCAGGATAACGTCGTCAAAGCATGCAGTAATAATGATTAACTCGACGACACACAGAGCAACCTGAATGACGACGCGAGCAATGCACACTGCTGTAAGATGAATACTGTGCGAACTAGCGCTAATTAGGGACAAACCTGAAAGTGGTGTCCTAAGTTCTAGGAGGAAGTGGCAATGTTTTGCGTTCATTACAGATACGGCAGCGAGAGTATCGATAAGGGCAGATGCACGGACACTGTCCGCAAACACGTCAATGACGTCTGACGAATTTCTCTGACGGCTTTCACCATTCCATAGCGTCACATTTCTGTGAACTGTGACGACTAGTTTTGCTGCTCATGAGCGGCTGAACTGGGCTGCGTGGGTGACGAGGATTGACGACGTAGAGGCGAGTGCTTACAAGGAAATGGTGCTGAGCTAGACGTTGGTGTCATAGACCGCCGTGACTCGGGCAAGGAATCGCTCAGCTGGCTAATGGCAGGACAGGAGACCCCCGCACTTCCACCTATTTAGTAAATATTTGCTCACCAGCTCTCAGCGATAACGCGTTATGACGAGAGTCACGACCAGGCACCGACTCCTAGCGTCAGCAGCCTCCTTTTTTTTAGTTGACCCACTCGAGGGTACTCAAGAGTGCAACACATCGTTTAGCTCCAAGGCGTCGCTACACTCCCTAAACTGTGAGTTTTTAAAATCATGCATTTCACATGAAATACTGCAGCTTCCGTCATCCAGAAAGAAATCACCTGCCACTATAGGCGACTAAATCAAGATCACGTAAAGTTCGTGAATCCCACTGAAAGTCACAATGTTCAGTGTGACAGTTATTTAAGATGCTTGCCTGCTAAGCAACAGCAGCTAAGATGAGTCTAGGTTTTGGTAGTGTCCCCTCTACTTTTTGATCACTGCTATGCTGGGCCGAGTGTTAGTTTGTACAAGTCATTTACGTTATTAAGATTTGTTGGTTGAATAGTGCAACAACAGTAGATTAAATGTTTCTGTTAAGGTATTTTGCCTATTTCAGCTATGCGTAGGCGAATTCTCACAATACTTCACTTTTCTTGAAGAGCCCAGCATTGAAAATTGTGAGAATATGAGCATGGGCTATGTACCCAAAGGACGCATGAGTAAATATTGCGGGGTTAAATTTAGTTTTGCAACCTATTGTTGTTTTTCAAGTGAAAAGTTAGATACTGATTTCTACTTACCACTCATCACTCCTGAGTCGCTTTTTTTTTACCCATAAGTCAACGTCGTCCTCGCTAATATTACACATCTTAAAAAATATGCATCGCTTTTCTTCCAATATACATGGAGAAGTTTCGCAGCTTGGGTTATTCGGGATCTTCGAGATGTTTTGCTTATACAACCACAACCTGTCCGTTGTATTGAACACCTATATTTAGGACGAAAACAGAAACAGTATAGTTAGACGTATAGTAAAACAAACACTTTATTAAATAGCTTCAGACAGGAAAGCATGAGTCCATCGAGCGAATACGTAACCAACGTGCATACGTAACCCAGAGCATTTGAGAAAACTTCTTGTGAACCGAAATTTCACAAGAGGAGGTGTGTTTAAAGATAACTGCACAATCAATATGCCATGCAAAAT